CCCACTCTGGGAATAAATTGTTCCTCATATTCTGTCTGAACTTCACCTGGTGCAGCTTGAGGTCATTTCCTCTTGTCCTATCCCGTGTTACATGGGAAAGGATACAGACTCCCACCTCACAACCTCCTTTCAGGTGATAGAATCATTGCAGTACCGCCCCTAAATCCTGGCCAGGGCCTAGAAAAGTCTGGGAAATTCAAGTGTTAAACATGCATCACAGGGCAGAGGAACCTCTGGCAGATCCCACAGTTACAGGCTTGATATTACAGGAACATGTATTTGCACATCTACCCCACCACCATTCAAATCATGTACATGGACTTGGGAAACAGAGATCATACACTGCCGCAGAAGAGTGTGTCACAGCGAGGATTATTATTCTTAAGAGATTCAGGTAGAAGCAGAGCTGCGTACGCAGGGTTTCAGGATTCTGTCTTCAAACAGCAGTTTGCAAGATACATTTGTCACTGAGCATGCAAAAAAACTTTCTTTGCATGACTACCATCCTTGTTGCTGCATCCAGTATCAGTCGTGCTGGCCTAAGAGGAAATGAGCACAGTGCTAACGAACGCCGTGTTTAAGAAAAGATAAAACCTGCCCTGTGTGGGACCATTCTGCTCTGACTTCATGCGTGGTTCCAGCCATGCCCTGTCACCAATTAAAATCATGGAACCACATCCACAAAATAAAACTCTTTCTGGAATCACAGCCATAGTTGACACTTAGATATGATCCTTGTTTTCCAGGACAGTGGTGAATTAATTCAGCAGTTTATTCCCAAATGGCTTTGACAGCCAGGACTTCACTGCCGTTGATCTCCGGAGGGCAGTGTACAACATGGAAGGGGATAGCCAATTCAGAGAAACATTTCCAATTTCAGCCGGCTGTGAGCCAAGACATTTCAGTTCAGATCATTCCACAACTTCTGAAACCCAGGCAGGGACACCCTCCACTAGACCAGGTTGCTCTAAGCCCCTCTCCAGCCTGGCTTTGAACAGTGCCAGGGATGGGACATGTGTTATGGTTTAGGGCGAGGTGTTCCTGCCCATGGCCAGGGGGTCGGAACTTGATGATCTTAAGGCCATTTCCACCCCTAACTATTCTGTGATTCTATGATTCTATGTATTTTTAAATAGGCACCCACCCCCCGATCTAACCGCTTCCAGCTGCAGACAAAAAACACAGACACAAACACGGCCTGCAGCGGACACCCTCTCTGCCGCTTTAAACGCACTCAAGAATAGTCCCAAACATGAGACAAAGTGCTGACGAACACACCATGGCATGTAACAACACCGCAGACCCCTCCCCTTTGCTCTAAGCTCGCCGGACCCACCACAGGCGGGAGGCAGCGGAGCCAGCTCCGGATGAGGAACAGCAGAACCTCACCCGGAGCCAATCCCCGCCTTCCCCCCCCGGACCTTGGGACTGCTCTTGGGGCGGGCCTCGTGGGGCCCCCTCACGGCCTCCGCCATGGCCATACTCTGCAGCACCACCAAGCCGCAGCCACGGCTACTGCGGGCGGAAGCGGGGGAAGATTGACACCGCCCCCACCCGCTCCCCTCCAGTCAGCAGCGCGGTGGCTACGTGAAGCACGGAAGGACTCAGCACAGAACGCAGAGCTGGGAGCTGGAGCATGGCCGCCAGGCCTGGGTGAGGCAGGCCTCCTGTCAGGAGGGGAGCGGGCCTGGTGTAGGCTCACACATAGGCTCAGATATGGGAAGGCCAGGTTCCCTAGTAAGGGTGTGGGGGGAGGTCGGATTACGCCATAGGATCCTGTGGGGAGGCCGGGCCCCTCCATAAGTGTTTGAGATGAGGATCGGAAGTGCTATGTGGAGGCCAAGCTCCTCTATAGGAGCCTGGGAGGGAAGTAAGTTCCCCTACTGAGGACCGGATGGGAGGCCAGGATCATCTCTAAGAACTGGGGAAGAATCCAACCTTCTCTATAAGGGAGTGGCCAGGCTCCTCCTAAAAGGAGTGGCAGGGAGGCAAGGATCATCTATAGGAGCCTAGGGGGAGGCCAGGTTCCCTTCTACGGACCTGTGGAGGGGCCAGGCTCTCCTATAATGCCCCCAGGACAAAGGGGAGTGGGGAAGGAGTCTCCTCCATAAGAGTCTGGGACAAGGCCAGATGTCTGTGGGGAGGTCAAGCTGCTGCTACAGGGAATGCGAGGTAAGAAACCAAGCCCCTACTACTGAGGCTGGGCAGTGTGAGTTCTCTTCTTTCTACTTGTGCCATAGCAGGACCCAGAAGTGCCACCGGAGCGGGGTAGCCTGTGTGCAGTGCCTGAGGCATCTCCAGCCACAGCAGGGCTCCAGTCTCAGCCTGGGGAACCAGGCATCACTGACCCTTTTGATCCCTACTCAGGTGCTCAGCTGCCCCAGGGAGCCACCGCTGGAGCCCAGGCCATGCCCCACTGGAGCAGAACTGATTTCAGCCAGTCCCCAGATGGATGAGTCCCTGCAGAGCTCAGTCCCTCCTCGCAGAAGACATTGTAGTCAAAGACCTAATGATCTTGAACAGGTAATGTCCACTCTCTTAGGCCTTGTACTTCGGCCTTTAGAAGATCCTTTGTTATCAACATCATCTGTCATTTATAATACCTGTAGGAAAGGTAAATTGTGTGTGGGTCAAGGCAGAGATGATCCTGACCAGGAGCCCATTGCACATTACAGAGCTGGTGATCCCCTGAGCAGGCACAGGGCTGGTCTGCATTGCCCAAGCCCTGTGGCTGCAGAATGAGCTTGGCCATCTCATGGTAACGGGGTTCATGGGCAGTTCCTGCCTGATACTGACACACCAGCTGCCTGGCCCTGCCTGTATCTGGAAACGTAGCAAGATGTTATCATGTAATCTTCCTTCGTGACTAATGCTACTTTCTTGTGATGCTTTATATATTAGCTCGTATTACCAAAAAGGAAGAGCTCTAACTCTGCCTGAAGGCAGGATGCCCACCATCTGAAGGGACATAAGATTTACATGCTACCTGTATACCTCTTCTTATTTTGTCTTATTAAAGCAGCTGTGGCCTCTCTGTCCCTAGGGGGCGAGGCAGGAGCTGTTCAGCTGGTTATCAGAGTCTCTTGATAGGCCCTTCACTTCTATGGGTGTCTGGGAGGAGGACAAACCCCTCTAGAGAGGCCTGTGAGGAAACTCAGCCTGAACGTAGGGGCCTCTGTGGAGGCTAAAGTCTTGGTGTGTTCTCTCCCAGAGCTGTCGTGGTATTGAGCAAGTAGGAAGTAAAGGCTGAGGAAGGATATGCTCTTATAGGCTTCCTCCCAGGAGAAGGAACTTGAACATCCTAGGGTGCTTTGAAGGTGTACCAGCCCTAGCCTAGACAAAAATGTCAGTATGGCATCTTTCAGAAGAAAGATAGCCACCACACAAGTCTCAAAACTTAATCATAAAAGATGTGTGTGAGAACTAAGACTACAGCAGGGTCCTTCAGGAGAATATTTCGACACTTGGTCTTTCAGAAATGTAAATGGACAACCGATTCCTTGGCATGTGCCCTTTGCACAGTCCATCAGGAGAGATATTTAAGCTCACTGCCATCTACTCTGCACATGGAAATACAGTAAAAGCTCTGGGGACTGTTTGGCTTACACATGCACTGAAGTCACAGAGATTCAACTTGAAGAATATCATAGAATCATAAAATCATACATCAGAAGCTCCCGTTGCTCCAATGTTAAGGCACCTGGCACCAGGTTTAAACAGCTGAACTGTGTGCTGGTCCCCTTCTCCTCCATCCCTGTATCATAAGGCACTGAGGAGCTTCTTAAGCAATGCTGCACATGAGGATATGAGGGAGACCAGGAGCCCTGCGGCACACGAGTTTCTGAATCAATGCCGTGAGCACATATATGGTAACAAAAAAAGCAAGAACTTTGGGAGATATGGTCAGGAAATGAGTTTCAGGGCTCCAGCCCAACATTAATAACTAAGTTTATTTCCAGTGGTGCATAGGCACAACAAGTCCAAGGGACTTCTTTACCAGAAGTTAATCAAATGAGAGTCTGCAGAGCCTACCAGGCATGCGCTACACCATGAACCTAAAAATCTGCAAGCCCCTCATTGGAGAGGTGGTTGAAGAGCTAACCAACTTCTCCAGATCCTCAGCAACACTGCAGGGTGCAGGTCTGTGGCAGCACAGCCTCTCACTGGGTAGCTGTGCTGTGGCCTGCTACACAAGGCAAGATGCAAATCACCTTCCAGTATCAGCACTTAAACCTAAAGCACAATCACAGCTAAGCCAGACACGTAGTGTATTGTTGGTGCACCTCTAAGTGAGCTCCCTGAAAGACGTGGCCAAAATGAAACCTAAATTACAAGCTTAATCACTATTAATGAAGGACATGAGAAACGGGGAAAAGCTTAACCTGAGATCTGAGTGGGATATATATGCCCTAAACATTAGCCAGTTTCCCAAAGCATTGTGCAGCACTCCCCTCAGCATGTATGACTTCTTGGTTATCTCCAGCCTCTTTCAGATGGCTGTGCTTTGGAAGAACTTGAAATCAAAAACTTCTTCTGACACAGATGGCCCCTGCGTCTGGGTCCATCGCTTAGACTCCTTTTCTTCCCCCGAGTGTGAACATGGCATATCTGTCCAAGCAGTTTGCTGGTCACAGGCACAGATTTGTAATAGGCAGTTTCTGGGTTTGCAGATAATTATCTCAGACCTCAAATACTTTGCTGAAACGGAGAAGCACTTCAGCTCTGTGTGGCTGCTGTGAGAAATGGTCTCTAGGTAAAAACTTAAGCTCAGGGTAGACACAACAGTGAAGCAGCTCTTTATTAATGGTTTTGCAAAAAACGGGTGTCCTAACGAGTAGGCACACATAGCAAAAGCAGAACTATGATTTGGATTTCCTCTCCCATCCACAAGTTCCCTCCCTTGTTTCCCGGTTGGTTGGGTACTCCAAGGTTTACAACCCATTTAGTGCTTATAACCTATGCTAACTGTATTTATACCTCCCCATACTGGACGTTGTATGCCCCTTCCTCTTATTTATTAACCACATCTGTATTAACCACATAATCCTTTTCCGGTTCTATTTTGCAAGTCTTTGGCAGACATGTGGTACCCCAACTTAGTCTTTAACCAGCCTGCACCAGCTTAGTTTGCACATAGACAGTATTTTTTTAACCAAGGAGTGTATATTTCATCTAGAGATGACATTGGCTTTAACCCCAGAGTGTGTCTTTTCTGAGTTACTAGATCTCAAACCTTTTGTTTCGTTCCCTTAGTAACTTAGCCCCAGCCCCAGTATTGAAAACTCTTAATATTGCAAAGCCTTACTATGGATCTTGAAGCTCTAATATTGGAAAGCCTTAATATTGCAAAGCCCCATCTCCACTTATGCAAAAACAATGCCGTTTGTCTCACAATTCCCCCTTTCTCTTATTTATACTGGGTTTGGTTTTTGCACTTTCTCTGAATACTTACCCCATATGTCGCTTTCAGTCTGGATAACGTAACTTCACAGTTTTGGTCTACAGATAAGTAGTCCTGATCATCATCAAATTTTTTTTTTTTTTTTTTTTTTTTTAATGTAAAGCATTTCATCCGAGTAGGGTGGTGGTCCCATGACCATTTGTTTGGACAAAGTTGTTTCAAGAAGTTGTACACATCTTCCTATATACAGAATTATGTAGCACCATATAGCTATTCAGAAACCTGCTACTACAGTTACGGAAGTAAAAACTGGTATCACCATTGCTCTCCATTTTCCAAATCAGGATTCTATCCATCCTGTTAATGAAATACCTGTTCTGATATTTTCAGCCAAACCTTCTGCCAACGTATAGTGAGCACTTGAAAGGCCCTGGTTATGGCTCCATCTGGTGTTGTATTATTTGGCATTATGCATACTCCTCCTTTTTCAGCTAATATATCTAAAACTATTCTATTTTCACTGTATATTTGACCCATTCTAGCCAGGCGCTTCTATTTCTGTATCATTTTTCTATCTTGCTATTATTTGTCGGAGCCCATGTCCCCCCGATGGAGGAATGGTAGTGTCCACAGGCTGGCCACATTCGTTCCTCTTTGGCTCCCAAGCCACTATTGCAAATCTAGCAGTTGAGTCCCTTCCTGTCACATCTGCCCCCAGGCCATGAACTTGGCTTATTGCCCCTCCAGCATTTGCAATAGCAAGTGCATGGGACCACACTCAACAACCCACATTCAGATTCTGAGTGACCCTTAAACATCTTAACTTTATATTTTAGAGATTTTCTCTAAGCACTGGGTGAGATAGACCCATTAAAGTCAGCTGTAAACCAAACATCACTCCACCCAGGAAAAGGTGATTCCCAGTATGGCTGGAGATAATACTCTGGGTATAAATAGTTACCACAGCTTACAGTTTATCCAGCCTGCACCGGTTTAGTTTCATAGGCTGTACTAAGAAAGTATTCTTTTTAACCACAAAGTGTGTCTTTCATCTAGAGATGGCACTGTCTTTAACCACAAAGCGTGTCTATTTGAATAATTATATCTCAAACCCTTTCCTTCATTGCCTTAGGAACTTAATGCCAGACCTAGTATTGAAAACTCTTCTTATTGCAAAGCCTTACTATTGATCCTAAAGCTCTAAGATTGGAAAGTCTTACTATTGTAAAGCCCCATCCTCAGTTATGCGAAAATACTGTTTCTCTCACAGATGGGAGTAACCGGAAACACCACCACACTGGCCAGACCAACAGTGTCTTCTGCCTGGAGAACCTACAAACAGGATCAACAGCATCTAGGGATGTAGCCGTCAACTGTGGCATAAGCAGGCTCACCTGAAACAGGGAGCACAAAATAATCAGGTCTGCTTATGAGAAGTGCTCATGACAAGACTACACAGGACAGAAACACTGGCCACCTGTGTTAAAGGGATGGAAGGCAATGGTGGATGAGGCTGAAAGAGACGTCTTGATTCTATGATTCTATGATTTGCCGAGCAACCAAGGCATTTTACCAATTTCCATCCCTAAAGTGCCACAGGGAATTATATAGCTCATGGTGTTGAATGAGGGAAAGGCCCAAACTGCAGAGACTGGTGGGATCCCAAGCGTGGACATCCTTAAGGTCCACAAATGCCTACATACAGGGCTTTGGTCAGAACTTCTCCTTAGTGAAACCTTGTCTCCAAAGTCAGAGTCCAGCTTCTCAGGATCTTTCAAGGGGGACCAGACTTCACCTAAAGCATTCCCTTTAGACAGCTAAAGCTTGTGATCTGATGGGGAAGAGCAAAAGCAGGTTTCTTCCGTGGAGCCAGAAACCTGATAAAGCAAGTAATTCTGGTGCACTGGTCGGGATGGGTATAGGTGCCCTCCTGCACATTAGAAAAGAAAGAGCTGAAGATCTGCGTGGCTCTGGGACTCCCAGTGCCCTTCCTCAGTGCTCCCCAACTGCCCTCCGGGAGCTGGTGGGAAGGCAAGAGGTTAGGCCAGCCTGAGCTTTACAGAGACCTGATACCAAGGCACGTCTTGGTGGCCTGACATGAAGCCAGAGGGCATTGCGAAAATAGTTGATCCGCTTGCACTCCTGGGTCTCAAAGAACTCAAACGACACAGACAAAACGGCCCTAACATCTGTAAGAAGAGAGCAAATCTCCTCTCTTCTGATCTCATCCCACTACAAAGATCTCTGTCCACAGTAAGCAGCAGGTGATACTGGTCTTCTGCTGGAAACATGGTAACCATGAGTCATAGAATCATAGAACCAACTAGGTTGGAAAAGGCCTCGTCCAGAGAAGAACTCATCCCTTTACACAGCCAGGTATTTCAAAGATGAGCGTTAAGTTCTGGAAGGTCTGCAGGACCCATGCGGAAGGGGTCACTCAGCACACCACTACCTCTGGGGAGACGAAGCCAGCTTCCTAAAGGCACTGCATGTGGCCTAGGTACCCCATGGTCCTGCAGTGCCAGCTGACTTCTCTTCCACAACTATGGAGTAATAAAAAAGCATTGGGGATCTATGAAAGCAAAGTGTCTTGACTCGTTTGTCTTCTCTCTCTTTCCTGCCCATCCCTTTTCCAAGCAGCTTTAAGCCCAAGTCTTTTGAAATGTGCTGTCTGGTATAGCTCCATTTCATGCCTGAGTGACAGCCTTTGATCCCACGTGTATGTATGCACTTGTTATGACTTGCTGTTTGCAAGCTTGCAGCAGACATGGGATAAAACCTCAACCTCTGCACTTCCTATCCGTGGAATCACAGAATCATAGAATAGTTAGGGTTGGAAAGGACCTTAAAATCATCTAGTTCCAACCTTCCTGCCATGGGCAGGGACGCCTCGCAGTAAACCATGCCACCCAAGACAGCATCCAACCTGGCCTTGAACGCTGCCAGGGATGGAGAATTCACAACTTCCTTGGGCAACCCATTCTAGGACCTCACCACCTTCACAGTAAAGAACTTCTATCTTACATCTAACGTAAACTTCCCCTGTTTCAGTTTGAAGCCATTACCCCTTGGGCTATCACTACAGTACTGCAGTCTCGACGAAGCCTTCTCCAGGATGAACAGCTGCAACTTTCTCAGCCTGTCTTCATGTGGGAGGTGTTCCAGCCCCCTTGTCATCCTTGTGGCCCTCCTCTGGACTAGCCCCAATAGCTCCACGTCCTTTTTATGTTGAAGACATCAGAACTATACGCAATACTCCAAGTGAGGTTTCACGCGAGCAGAGTAGAGGAGCGGAATTACCTCCTTCAACCCTTGGTTACACATCACAGACAGCTGCAAAACACAGCTCAGCAGCAGAACAGCATCACAGTCCTCTCGCCACCAGCTCTGGACTTCCCTAGCACTTGCTGGAAGTCCTGACTAGACCATTTTGCTATGAGACAGTCTGCTTTAGACTGATACGTCCGCTCAGAGGGGTTCCCAAGCTACCACATGAGATATATGGTGAAGGGCTGCTGGCACACCGAGTTTACATGGAGATGGCTTCACCCAGCTTGCATCCCCAGTGTGCCATTACCTGCTGCTGCAAATTCATTTAAAGTCCTTCAGAGTTGCACAGTCTGCTAGGTGGTGTCCTGGCTGTAGAATACGCTGGCCTTAAGCCACTGAGTATCCAGAAGTGACTACGGCTGTTCAGGATAATGGCCAAACCCATTGCACAAGCAGCTTAATGGGTAATAAGGTCACTACTTTGAGTCTGTTACTTTGAAAAGGTAGTGGAAGGAAAAATAAAAACAAAAAAAATAGTGGAAACCTTGAAGTAGTGGGACTTTAAATTCAGAAGGCAAGCCAAACACACACACAGGGTTAGCTGCAACATGTTCTGCTGCTTCACTGCCAGAGAACACAGAGAAGGCAGATCTGTGCCATCCTGGAACCCTGCAGTGAGGAGTAGACATCCAGAGGACCACACTGCCACATAAAGGCGTTTTGGTGCTTTTGCCTCACAAGCTTTGGCATTCTCTTTCTGTCGTTCTTCCTGGATCTTCTCTAGTGTGGTAACGCTCTGCTGGTAACTCCTGCCTTTGAGACAAATCACACTGTCATCTGATTATCATTAATTAAAAAGGCCCTTTGTTAGAAGGCAGTACATGAAACCTGAATTGGCAGGGTCGTCAGGGAGGAAGCAGTACTGTGTGAGCTCAGCTATGGATGGGCACTGCAAGGAAATGCAGAGCTGTACAGGAAGTTGAAGGGCCATGTCACAGCGAAACGGTGAGAAATGGGAAGTGGGATGTGAAGCCCTGGTATGGCTCTGGAGTGAGCTCCACCTCTGCTATGCTTGGCATGAGTTTTTGAGGAGCCAGCCCTGACCAAGGAGTTGGAGCTCACTCGAGAGCCATGCCATGGCTTCAGAACCCCTGCCGCAGGAAACACTCCCCTCACCCTCCAAAGCCTGCATTTCCACACTCACCAGAATCTTCCAGAGATGATTTTATCTGCAGCAGCTTGAGGAACAGCTGCCAAAAATGGGAGAGAGAAGAAAGCTACAGGAGAGTCGATATGCATCATCAATGGAACTGAAGCCCAGCTAGAGACCATTGCTGGCCTTTCCATCTCATCCCCAAACCCAGAGCTGGGAGAAGAGTTATGGGGCAGGAGAGCTCCAAGAACATACACCCTTC